CAATAGTCCTGGGACAATTCAGAGCAGGGAAAGGGGCAGGGACTCACAGCAACATGGGTACAGTACATAAATCGTTACTGTTTCTACTGGCTGCCCTCTGAATCCACCAAGAGGCTGCTCATGAACCTCCCAGGACATACTGCCTGTGGACGCTACTACAAGACCATGGTTGTCTGGAGGATTTTGCCTGCCCTCTCTCCATAGATGTGCCTATAAGAGCCTCTGCAGCTCATATACCACAAACACAAACAGACAGCCAACTAGACTCTTCTGGATTGGGAGAAGATACTTTAAACACTTCCTGTCACTGCCCTAGGAAAAATAAATGAGAGAATCTCAGTACCCAGCCTGGCCTTAAGTCTTGAGAAAAAGTATACAATCCTAACACTTCCCTGTGAAGAGGGAACAAAAGGAGTGGAATTGGTGTATTTGTAGGAAAAGTCTGAGATTCCACATATAAGTGACATCGTTCAGTATTCGTCCTTCTGCATCTGGCTGATTTCACGTAGCACAACGTTCTCCAGGTTCCTCCATGCTGTTGCAAATGACAAGATTTCCTTATTTTTAATGGCTAAATAATATTCTAGTGTATGTGTGTTTGTATCATGTTTTTCTTATCTGTTTATCTGTTGACTGACTTTTGTTTATGTATGTTGACTATTGTGAATAGTGCTGCAATGAACATTACAGATGAGAATGTCGATATGTATTCAACATACTGATTTAATTTCCTTTGGGTATATATCCAGAAGTGGAAATGCTGGATCGTATGGTAGTTCTATTTTTAACTTTTTGAAGAAGCTCTGTACCATTTTTACAATGGCTGTACCAGTTTATTTTCCCATCAACTGTGTACAAGAATTTTTTTCCGCACAAAACTTCAACACATCTTTTTCTTTTTGTTAGTAGCTATTTTAACAGGTGTGAGGTGATATCTCATTGTGATCAGTTAAGAAATTTCACATAGCCCACTTATGTTTACAAACTGAAGAGTAATCAATCTACTCACAGCATGAGATTATTAGAATCAAACATTTTGAAAGTCTGTCCTTGCAGGACTAATAGAAAACTATGTTCTAACCTTTACGTGAGGACTCTATTTTTTAACTCCTGTTACCGTGTAATGGCAGTTATATTTTGCAGTTCCTACATTAAAGAAGTCCTGAGAATGTATCCCCAAAAGAGTGAGCTTAAAACACAAGACTGCCATATTAAATTTTTTGTTGACTTTTGTCTTAGTGAAGACTATGAAAATGCTGGCTATACATGTCTTTTCTCATTTATCTAAATATGAACTGCTCAGGCAATGAGACTTTCCATAAAAAGTATTTTTAATTAATTGGGCCAGCTTTTAAAAAGAAGATGCCACATTCAAAATAGAGTATATTTTCCTAGATTATGGTTTGCCTCTTTGTAAATCCAAGTAGATAGAAGGAAAGAAGACACTTAAACTTTGCATCTCAAGATGAATTATTCAATTTATTTCGATGATTTTTCTTTAAAAAACCCAAACTCATTCATTAGTCATGTGTATCTGATTACCAGTTTAGGGAACAATTTGACAATTTTGTGGTTTCTGAGATTATCATTTTCTTCAAGTGACAATATTTTAAAATAACATTCTTGTAATTTTACATGTTTTTTGTGATGGAGTGCTGTTTCGTTATATAATTGACTTGGATTCTTTCCATTTGCATTTGTTTATCTGACACTGGGGCCGCAGGCACCCATTCCTAGACACTACAGTGGGGCCAGAGCCCACAGTGCTTGCCTCAGCTCCTGCACCTGACCATCTGTGTGCTCCTTCTTCCATCAGGGGTTTGAGCAGTGGTGGTGACAGAAAAGGTGAGCCACACCTGCTGTTGTCAGGGAGATTAGATCACTCTCCCATTTCAATAGCACACAACAGTTAGTTTTTTTCAATCCTTGCCCCAGTTGTTCCCTTCCCCCTAGTATTTCCCAGTGTCTGTTGTTTCCCATCTTTGTGTCTATGTGTACTTAAAATTTAGCTTGCACTTATACATGAGAACATGAGGTATTTGCTTTTCTCTTCTTGTGTTCTTGTGTTAATTCACTTGGGATAATGGCCTTTAGCTTTATCCATGCAGCTGCAAAGGACTTGAGTTTGTTCATTTTTATGGCTATGTGCTATTCCATGATGTATATGTACCGCATTTTCTTTATCCAGTCCACCACTGATGGGCGCTTAGGTTGATTCTATGTTGTCGCTGTTGTGAATGGTGCTGTGATGAACATACAAGCACGTTTCTTTTTCATAGAAAAATTTATTTTCTTTTAGATATTATCCAGTGATAGGATTACTTAGTTAAATAATTTTAAAAAAATTCTTTCAGAAATCTCCAGACTGCTTTTTACAGTGATTGAACTAATTTGCATTCCCAACGGTGTATAAGCATTTCCCTTTCTCCACAGCCTGGCCAGCATCTATTGTTTTTTGACTTGGTTATAGTAGCCATTCTTACTGGTATGAGGTGGTTATCACATTGTGATTTTGATTTGTATTTTTCTGATGATTAGTCTTGTTGAGTGTTTTATCATATGTATGTGGGCTTCTTGTATGTTTTCTTGTGAAAAGTATCTGGTCATATCCTTTGCCCACTTATTAATGGAATTATTTGTTTTTTGCCTATTGAGTAGTTTAAGTTTTTTATACATTCTGTTAATTAGATTTATTGGATGCATAGTTTCTGAAAATCTTCTCCCATACTGTAGGTTGCCTGTGTACTCTGTTGATAGTCTCTTTAGCTATACAGAAGCTCTTTAATTTAATTAGGTCCAAGTTGTCAAATTTTTTGTTGCAATAGCTTTCGAGGATTTAGTCATAAATTATTTCCAAAAGCTGATGTTCAGAATGATGTTTCCCAAGTTTTCTTCTAGGATTCTTATAGTTTGAGGTCTTACATTTAAATCTTTAATCCATCTTGAGTTAACTTTTGTATATGGTAAAAGGTAGCTGTCCAGTTTTATTTTTTTGGTATATTGCTAGCCTATTATCCTAACACCATTTATTGAACAGGGAGTCCTTTCTCTATTGCTTACTTTTGTTGATTTTGTTAAAGATCAGATAGCTGTGGGGTGTGTGTGTGTGTGTATGTGTGTATGTGTGTGTGTGTGTGTGTGTGTGTGTGTGTGTGTGAGACCTTCTTTCTAGGTTCCGTATTCTGTTGCACCTGTCTATGTTACTGTTTTTATACTAGTACCTTGCTGTTTTGGCTACTGTAGCCCTATGGTGTTTTGATATCAGATAATGTGGTGGCTTGGTTCTTTTTGCTAAGGCTTGCTTTGGCTATTCGGGCTTTTTTTCCAGTTTCATATGAATTTTAGAATAGTTTTTCTAATTCTGTGAAAAATTGCATCAGTGATTGATAGGAATAGCATTGAATCTGTAGACTGCTTGGGGTGGTATGGCCATTTTAACGATATTAATTATTCTCATCCATGGATTGTTTTTTCATTTGTTTGTGTTCTCTCTGATTTCTTTGAGCAGTGTTTTGTAATTATCTCATTGTAGAGATATTTGACTTCCTTGGTTAGATATATTCTTAGATATTTTATTATTTCTTGGTAGCTATTATTAATTCAATCGCATTATTGATTTGGCTCTCAGCTTAACATTATTGACGTATAGGAGTGCTACTGATTTTTGTACATTGATTTTGTAACCTAAAATTTTAGTGAAGTCATTTATTAGCTCCAGGAGCCTTTTGGCAGAGTCTTTAGAGTTTTCTAGATATAGAATTGTGTGGGCCACAAAGAGAGATAGTTTAACTTATTTTCCAATTTGGGTACATTTTGTTTCTTTTCTCTTGCCCCATTGCTCTGCTTAGGACTTCTAGAACTATGTTGAAGAGGAGTAGTGAGAGTGGGCATCCTTGTCTTGTTCCAGTTTTCAAGGGGTAATGCTTCCAGATTTTGCCCATTAATTATGAGGTTGGCTGTGGATTTGTCATAGATTGCATTTATTTTGAGGTACATTGCTTTGATGCTTAATTTGTAGATAATTTTTATTATGAAGGTATGTTGCATTTTATTGAAGGTTTTTTCTGCATTTATTGAGATCATACGGTTTTTTGTTTTGAATGCAGTTTATGTGGTGAATGACATTTAGTGATTTGCATATATTGAACAAACCTTGCATCCAAAGAATGAAGCCTACTTGATCACAGTGAGTTAACTTTTGATGTGCTATTGAATTTAGTTTGCTGGCATTTCATTGATGGTTTTGCATATATGTTCATCAGGAATATTAGCCTGCAGTGTTCCTTTTTCATTGTGTCTTTGCCAGGTTTTGGTATCAGAGACCTGATGCTGGTTTCATAGAATGAGTTGCAAAGGAGTCTCTCCCGCTCAATTTTTTGTAATAGAATTGGCACCAGTTCTTCTTTTTACATCTGGTAGAGTTTGACTACAAATTCATCTGGTTTGGGCTTTGTTTTTGGTTGGTAAGTTTTTAGTACTGTTTTCACTTCAGGACTTGGTATTGGTCTGCTCAGGGTTTCAACTTCTTCCTTATTAAATCTTAGGAATTTGTGTGTTTTTAGGATTTCATCCAATTGCTCTCTATTTTTCTAGTTTATTTTCATGGAAGTGTTCATAATATTCTCTGAGTATCTTTTGTATTTCGATGGGATTCGTTGTAATGAGACATTTGTCCTTTCTGGTTGTGCTTATTTGGATCTTTCCTTTTTCCTTCTTGAATCTTGTTAGCAGCCTACCAATCTTATTTACCCTTTCAATAGACCAAATTTTGGTTTCATTCATGCTTTGCATAAATTTTTGGGTCTCAATTTTGTTCAGTTCTGTTCTGATTTTAGTTATTTCTTTCTTCTGCTAGTTTTGTGGTTGATTTGCTCTTGTTTTTCTAACTCCTCTAGAAGTGATGTTAGACTCTTAACTTGACATCTTTCTACATGTTTCCTATTGCAGAAACATTAAATTTTGCAGAACAGCTGTGCTGGATGATGTGTTGAGCCGAATGCTAACAACTGGGGCTAATTTAAAAGAACTTTTTTTCCTATCACTGTTAAAGCTTCTTTTACTTCATTATTTCTCAAGCTATATATGAAAGGATTCAACATGGGAATAACAGTGCCATAAAATACAGATGCCACTTTCATATTTTCCTGGGAATTATTAGAATGAGACTATAAGTACATGTAAGACAGTGTCCCATAGAAAATAGTAACTGCTGTCAGGTGGGATGCACATGTGGAGAAAGATTTTCTCCTCCCTGCAGTAGAAGACATTTTCAGGATGGTGGCCATGATGTAGGTGTAGGAAAAGATGATGACCAACCCAGTGAACATCAAGTTAAATCCCACAAAGACAACAAGTAGCATGTTGTTGATGTCAGTGTTGGAGCATGAAAGAGCAAGAATTGGGGGAACATCACAGAAAAAGTGGTTGATGTTATTGGATGTGCAGAAGGACAGTGAAAATGTAAAACCTGTTTGCACAGAGGCATTAATTGAGCCCATGATGTATGAACCAGCTACCAGTTGGATGCAGACTGTTCGAGACATGATTACAGTATAGTGAAGGGGTTTAAAGATGGCAACATAACGGTCCACTGCCATCATAGCTAGGAGATAACAGTCACTGGTTGCAAAGGTTGCATAAACCAATAATTGCATCACACAGCCCTGAAATGATATCAAATTATTTTCTTCTGTGAAGCTTTGGAGCATCTTGGGAGTGATAGCATAAGTGTAACAGATATCAACAAAAGCCAAATGTTGTAGAAAAAAGTACATGGGTGTTTGAAATCTGGAATCTGTGTCGATGAGTAAGATCATTCCAGTATTACCCACTATGGAGGTCACATAGATGAGAAGGAATGCAATGAAGAGGATACACCAAAACTCATGCTGGGCACCAAATCCCAGAAGATAGAATTCAGTTACTCCAGTGCTGTTTCCTTGTGTCATGGCTACTGAAAGTCTAGAAAGGACCAAAAGAAGGACCCAGAAAAGAAGGGAAATCTTTGTGACTTCTTGCAATGAAATGGCTCTATATTTCAAGTCACTTTTTCTGATTGGATTTTCATGACAAAGCTAACAATAGTGTTATTTATTTCCTAAATTAAAAAATTTATTTACAATCATTGAGGGTGATTTACTTGATGAAAGATGAAATGAATTCATCTTCAAAATAAAAAAGGTTATCTTAGAAGAAGACTGACTTTTAATGTGTTAGAAACATAGATATTTTTTCACTATATTAAACAGGCACCCATACATAAAGTAATATTAAATGTAATTTTGTACCCCTTTATAATTTTTCACAGCCACTTACCATTTTAATTTTGGATAAAGATCTTGAAATTAGTAGCATAAATTAGAGAGAAATTTCCTTAAATATGGTCATATTTTACATATGTTTGAAGGCTTTAAAGTATCTTTGTACTAGTATCCTTAGGCAGCTCCCATTTAGGTGTTATTCTTTACAAGCAAAATAACTCTGAGAAATACCCTTACATTTTCTATTGCTTTTTTTTTTTTTCTGTTCTGTAGTGGAGGAACGAGAAAGCAGAAATATTATCTTCAATCTACCTTTTAGTGAATACTGAGGTATATCAAGTTAGTGTAAGTTTCTTCATAGGGTAAATTTACTGTAAAATAAAAGAAATATAGTCCTTTCAAAAAGTGTTTCTTTCATTTGGATAAACACTCACTAGAGGAAGCTTGAATAGGCCAGAGGTCTACTTAAGCTACAATTTCAATAGACAAATGACATTGATCATATCAACTTGACTTTAATCATCTGGATTGAAATAAAATAATATGAAAATATGGGGATGCTTTTCAAAAGTTAAGGAAACTAGTGTAAATCCTCCTTCTGATCTCACACAGAATCTGTACATTTCTGTGTTTATGTTGAGCTAATCATTGGCTGGTTTAATATAAAATATTTGTTTAATCTGTGTTGAAGGTGTTTTCTAATCAAATGAATGCCTCAAAGAAAATGGCCAACTATCTAAGCATTTTTTTTTTTTTTTAACATTCATGTTTGGCAGTACCTGTGAAGGTTTGTTACATAGGTAAGCTCATGCCATGCAGGGTTACCCTAGCATTTTAAACATGCTTAACATATGAGTAGTGCTGAGTTTCTCAGGCTTCATTTATAGTCAACATTGTGCAGTGAAAAGGAAATAGGAAACCCTGGTTTTGAATATTTGTCTCACCAGTTATTAGAAGAAAGCATATAACTCCCGTTGGCCCTACTTACTTCCTCTATACAAAGGGGATTATAGAGCTCATCTAGAAGTTAATATGTTCATTCACTTGTTTATAGTATCAGTAACATGCATATTATAGATACCTTAATGTTATGTAACTTGGATTGCAAATAAGTTAACCAAAACCTTCTAGTAGCAAAATCAGGAAATGAAATTATATAAATTTCAGTAGATTCATATTATTTATTAATGCCTACTCTAAGACAGTGAGATAAATATGTACTCGTACGGAGTCCAGAGAGAAAAGCATGTTGCAGAAAAATATGTTGATTGTGGACCCTTTGAAAAATTAAACTTTCTGTCCCTCCTACTGTCTCTTGCTTTCATTCTTTTTATTTATTTGTGATTAAATGCCAGAAAGTGTGCACACCAAATTCAAGTATAGTTATTCATGGGTGTGGCATTAGGTGAAAAATAACATTATTTTTTAAACTTATCAACTTCTAAACTTTCACTTTTATAATGGGAATTCATGACCCTTATTGTTTTAAAAATGAAGAAAACTATGTTTTATGTGGTCGCTGATGCCCTAAAGTTGTGTGTCATTTCACTATTTTCTTTTGTTCTTTTTTTTTTTTTTTTTTTTTTTTTTTGAGTTAGAGTCTCACTCTGTTGCCCATGCTGGATGCAGTGGTGCAATCTCAGCTCACTGCAACCCAGGTTCAAGTGATTCTCCTGCCTCAGCCTATGAGGCAGCCACTATGCCGAGCTACTTTTTCTATTTTTAGTAGAGATGGAATTTCACCATGTTGGCCAGGCTAATCTTAAACTCCTGACCTCAAGTGATCCATCTGCCCTGGCCTCACAAAGTATAGGGATTACAGGCCTCTTTCTACTTTCTTAACCTTCTGATGTTTCATGTTTCTTTCATTTAATAACAACTAAAAGGCGGAATATGGGAGAGTGGTTAGAAAAATGAAACAATTATATTCTATGTACAAGAAACTCACTTCAGATATAATGACACATGTAGGTTTAAAATAAAAGGAAGAAAATATATATCGTGCAAACATTAATCAAAAGAATGAATGGCTATAAAAGTATTAGTAAAGTATATTTCACAGCAAAGAAAATTACCAAGGACAAAGAAGAACATTACATAATAATAAAAGTGCTAATCTATCAAGAAGAAATAACAATCCTAAATGTGTAGGCACTAAACAAGTAAACTACAACTTACATAAGCAAAAACTGAAACATTGAATTGAGCTACAGGCCAATCTGTAATTATAGCTGGGGATTTTAATATTCATTTCTCAGCAATTTATAGGACTAGATGGAAAATCAACAAGAATATAGAAGAACTCAGCACCATCAGCCAACAGGATATCTGTGATAGTTATATAACATTCCACCTTACATGACTAGAAAACATACTTTTTTTCCAGCATTTGTGGAATATATATCAAGGTAGATTGTATATAATCTATATAATTTTAGAAGAATGGAATTCACAGAGAATGTGTTCCTGACCACAATGAAATTGAACAAGAAATAAACAACAGAAATGTAACAGGAAACTCTCCAGATAATTGGGAAAAAATACATTTATAAACAACCTTTGGATCAAAAAGGCAGTCACAAGGGAAATATAAAATATTGAACTCAATAAAAATATGATACTTGAAATTTATGGGATGCAGCTAAAGCAGTATTTAGTGAGCATCCTGTAGTACTAAATGCTTACATTAAAAAGAGAAAAATCCTCAAATCATTAATATAATCTTCTACTTTAAAAATGTTGAAAATGAAGAACAAACTAAATCCAAAATATGTAGAAAAAAGTATAATAAATATAAGAGCAGAATTCAATGAATTGGAAACAGAAAAACAATATAAAATACTATAAAACAAGAGGTGGGTTTTGCAGAAAATTAGTAAAACTGACAAACCTCTAGAAAGGCTAGCAAAGATAAAAGGAAGAAGATACAAATGACTAAGTCAGGAAAAGCAGAGATATCACTACAGACCCTGTAGACAGAAAAAATACATTAATAAGAGAATACTACAAACATCTCTACAGATATTAATTTGACCAATGAAATGAATCCATTAATTAAGAAGTATAAACTAACCCATATGAAACTGTTATTTGAATAGCCCTACAGCCATGAAGAGAATTAAATTTATAATGTAAAAACTTCCTTTTAAAATATCACTGGAAAATTCGCTAAATGTATAAGAAATAATTAACTTCAATTCTATACAATTTCTCTCAGAAAACATATGTGAAAAGAACATATCCTGGTTTATTCTGTTACCCTGCTAGCAAAAGCTGAAAAAATAGCACACAAAGAAGAAAACCACAGTTCAATATCTTTAATGAACATAGATGCAAGAATCTTTTTAAAAATTTAGTGGATAGAATTCAGCTATGTGTATGAAATTATACACAATGACTGAATTGGGTATAGTACAGGTCTAAAAGAGAAAAATCATAGGATCATATAAATTGATGAACAAAAATAATTTGACAAAATTCAACATCTACTTATTACCTTAAAAGTCTTTGAAAACTAGAAAAAGAGGACAATTTCTGCAACTGATGAAGAATTTCTACAGGAAAAACTATAGCTAACATCCTACTTAATAGCTACAGACTAAATGCTTACCCCTAAAATTGGGAACAAGCAAGGATATTCATTCTCTTTAGTGTTATTCAACATAGTTTGGGAAGTTCTACTCAGAGGAAAGGATATATACACATAAAAATGATACAGGTCAGAAAAGAAGAAATAAAATTGTCATTTGTAGATGACATGAGGGTTTAGGTAGAAGATTCCAAGAATCTACCAAAAACTTCTAGAAGTGATAAGTGAGTTCACAAAAGTTGGGGAACACAAGACAGTTCTAAAAAATCCATACTATTTTCATAATAACAATAAATTTGTGGAAGCTGGAATAAACACACAATAGCATTAATAATAGTTCAAAAAATGAATACTTAGGTATAAATGTAACAAAACCAATATAGGACTTGATGATGAAAATTACAATATGCTGATAAAAGAAATCAAAGAAAATCTATGTAAATAGATATATTGTGTTTAGGAAATATGAGACTCAATGTAGTGATGTCAGTTCTCCCCAAATTATGTCCAGGTTTAATACATCTGAAATCAAATTCTCAGCATAGTATTTTTAGTACGTGAACAAGAATATTCTAAATTTATAGGGAGGAGAAAAGAAGCTAGAATAGCTAACACAATTCTGAAAACAAAAACAAAAAAAATGAGATGAATCACTTTACCTAACATTGATCTTAAAAATATATATCTACAGTAATTAACACTGTGGTATTAGTGGAAAGATAGATACAAAGATGGAGCAAAATAGTGTATCCACAAATAGATCCACACAAGTGCAGTCATTTGATTTTTGGGCAGCTTCAATTCAATGGAGGAAGACTTTTTAGTAAATAGTGCTGAGACACTGTTTACAATAGCAAAGACCTGGAACCAACCCAAATGCCCAACGATGATAGACTGGATAGGGAAAATGTGGTACATATACACCATGGAATATTATGCAGCCATCAAAAACGATGAGTTCACGTCCTTTATAGGGACATGGATGAACCTGGAAACCATCATTCTCAGCAAACTGACACAAGAGCAGAAAATCAAACACCGTATATTCTCGCTCATAGGCGGGTGTTGAACAATGAGAACACATGGACATGGGGAGGGGAGCACTACACACTGGGGTCCGTTGGGGGGAAATGGG